CACCACCAATTGGCTATACTGTTCTAAAGACTGACAGGTAAACTTATAGTAGTGGTATATGTTGCACATGAGGAGCGTGAGGGATGAAAAATAGCAAAAAGCTTGAAGTATCGACAAAAGTATTGTGCATAAGTTGAAATACTGTGTGTCTTTCAAATTTACAAAGAGCCATATATTCAAAGACAGCACAAAATGTTTTTCTGTCAATGAGACAAAATGATACTTGATGCACTCTGATATTGAAACCATTAGGAGGCTTAGGAAGTTAGGCTTAGGGCAAGGATATCTTCACCCCACTCCAAGGGTATTTGATATTAACTCTGCTCCAAATCACCATCATTCCTCTCAGTCCTGGATCTCACAACAATCAGACCTCATAAGCAGCATGGCCACCATGCACTTCCCTGCCCCATTCCTTCCCTGTTGTGTGCTACCAGCAGCAGCAATCTAACATGCCACATTGGATTTCTTTTATTTATTTTAGTTGCCTAAACCATGAAATCCCATTCTGCTACTGTTACACAGTTCCATGAATATTGCCTGAGTAGCCATTGTGATATATGTAGTCAATATTTTGAAATGTGTGTCTCAATCTGAACAAAGTTACAGCATGTATTACACATGATTTCCTTATCTAGATGAGCAGATAACTGAGCGGACCTGTATGTAGCTGATAGCTAAGGATTTACTCAGATGTTTGCACATATGTAGTGTATGCTTTATGGCTCAGATGTGCAGTGCGAGATGATTTGATGCTCCATTCTTCTCTCAATGATATTCCCAGCCTAGGTCATGTTCCGACCAGGGAACCTATTTAATGCTGGGCAGTGTAAGCTCATTTTTTTTGGTCAATCAATATCCCCAGAAAACATTGTCATGAACAAGAACAAATGTATCAATAATGTCTCAGATGCAGTAGACATGGATACAGTGATCTCTAAGGGTTTTTGACACTGGCAACCTACTGACCAGAAATCACATTCTGTGAAATTTTTGATGCAAAAATGGAACAGTCGTACAAGCAGGAAAACTTTGTTAACATTTGGTTGGATGTAAATGCAACAAAATGCATTTCATAAACTCTTAGGGTGCGTTCACTTAAGGAATTTCTGACCAGAAATCACATTCTGCAAATTTTAAAGTGTCCATTTGGTGGTGCATGTTTCATTTTTGCCTTGAAAACTTTACAGAATGTGATTTCTGGTCAGAAATTCCTTAAGTGAACGCACCCTAAGAGTTTATGAAATGCATTTTGTTGCATTTACATCCAACCAAATGTTAACAAAGTTTTCCTGCTTGTACGACTGCGGCGCCCGCCACCCAATTTGGCTAGTGCTTGTAGATATAATTAGGTTGCCAGTGTCAAAAACCTCTGTATCAGAAAACTGGATGAGGTCTACTGCATCTGAGACATTATTGATACATTTGTTCTTGTTCATGACAATGTTTTCTGGGGATATTGATTGACCAAAAAAAATGAGCTCTGGTGTTGTCAGTATTGGGGTTCATCAAGTGTTTTTTCTCTTGATTGCCCAAAGCAACTCTTGGTGCTTTTGGATTTGGTGAAGTTGGGTCTTGTGAAGCGCTCTTATGTTTACCCTCAACTTCCTCTTAAGCCCAATGATCAATTTGTCAAAAGACCTCAGACTGCCCCTCTCAATTGCCTCAGAGGAGAAAATATTGAAGACATCCTCTAAGTGTTGCGTTATTTGGCACCAAACATATTTGTACAATCATTGGCAATGACCAAGCCGTGCCTTGTTGATATCTGCACCAAAATTGTCCACAATGAGGAACCGAGTACTCCTCTCATACCTGGGTTCCATTACACCATTTTGCAGCTATCAGTCGCTCATTTTGAACAAACGTGACATCTTCATGTACAGCAGAATTCTTTTGCATTCATGCTTCTTCCTTTTGATATCTGTATAGTAATTTCAAGAAGAACTGAGTGATTCTTATTTCAGAATAACCAAATAGGCATGTTACTCTGATGTGCCACCTCAGTTCTCCAACTGAGTGGCTTAGGAGTTACTCAGGGGTTTCGAATTGGTCCTCATACTTCAACCCTCTTCCAATTCAATGTCTCACCTACATGTCGAACCAAACACATGTGTATTTTTTGTATTTCTTCTTCTAAATTCCTTTTAAGAGTCCTCTTCAGTCATTGGTGAATTTCCAGATGCCTCCGGAATTCACTGTTTCCGGGCAGCCTTTTTTTGACTCAATAAACACACTTTATTCTTTGCATATCTTTTTTCTACTTCCTTCTCAAGTATCTGAACAACTCAACAATAGTTATATGAATTTTCCCTTATCGCAACATCAGCTTTGAAATCAATATCCTTCATTCTCACTTTTGATTGTGCCATTTGATGCCTCAGCGTCAAACGCAAACCAAACAAACACATTGAGTAGTATGCAACATCGGGCCAATGCTTTGCTCCCAGTGAGCAACTTTGGGCAACACAAAGCAACGGCCATGGAGGGCAACATGGGGCAAAGCAATGGATCGGGCCATTGCCCAATGCGTTGCCCCATTTGGCCCGGATTCTTGTGGCGTTGCAATGTGTTGTGGCCCCAGTACCAGCAATGCAACATAGCAACGGGCGGGTAAGGGTAGGTCCCCTCGCTTTCTTCCAATCTTACTCATGAGCTCAGCATTTCCCAATTCAATCATTGACCCCTTGCTTCAATGCAAATATGGCCTGGACCAGCAGCCCCTTACCTCGATCTGGACTCAATTACTCCAATTCAAGTACTCAACCCAATGGAATCCTTTGAATACACAGCACAAGTCCAACTCAACACCGATTCTGTTCCTTCAGTCCCGACTTCAAATTCACTCATTATTTTCAATCTATATCTTCAGTTTTGTCATTTTTTTTCCCGCAATTCCATCAAACTCTTTCTAATCTTCTTTATTTTGATTGTTTACCACTTTTCTTAATCATGCCTAGCAGTCCCAATTCAACCTCCTATTCTCAACAACCAACTGACTTGGAGTCATGCTTGTCCACACCACTCCGGCGCTCCACTAGACCACCAACTCCTTGTAAGAACTTACTAGGAATGGTCAATCCTTCCTCTGATAGCCGAAGAATGATACCTCTTCCACAAGCCACTGGTTCAACCCAACAAACGCAAACATTGTCCAGAACCTCACAGATTCAGATTTGCTCAAGCTCTCCTGGACTCAATTGTTTGAAAGAATCAGCTCCAGCTCCAGCACCTTGCAGGAAACGGCTGCAAGGCCATCACAGGTGAGTAGCAGTAGTAGTAGTACTAAGTGGCTTATCAACATACATATCACCAATCCCACATCAATTTCTGATAGCCTACTTGTGACAGTTTGCCACCCAAATCCAAAATGAATCAAGATTTGGATGATGACCTCACGTTTTGTCAAAAGGCCAAGCAAACCAAAGTACTCAAAGTGAGCAGCGATGATGGACACCAGGAGCAAGAGTATACTCCTGTGCCTGAGTCTTTCGGACCACCTGAATCTTCAAAATAAGATGTAGGTTTCTTCATTTCCACTTTTACTTGTCATAATCCACACTTGAGTATACTTAAATTATTAAACTTTGACCACTCAACAGTTAGAGAAAGGGTTACCGCCGCTTTCATACCCATGTCTTTGGTGTAAAAATTTTTTTCAAGTCGCCCCTGATTTGCTCGGAAACCTCAAAATCCATTGCGACGGACATGGCATAGGACATCGTCGATTGCCATGTACTAAGCGTCAGGAGCCAATCAACAGTGGTATGAAACTTCCATACCTTGGAATCAAGTCAAGGATTCCTTACTTCGCCTTGCATCTCAATATGCTCAGCGGGATGCAAAGGTATTGAACAACTTGGGTTGCAAGAGAGGCCGCTGGTATGTATGCCTCGTTTCAAGACACAGTGTTGAAGGAAATAAAAGTAAGTCATTTGTATTATATCAATACCTATCTATAAAAGAATTGTAATCTGACACCAACATCTCTTGTCAAGGACAATGCAGGGAAGTTTACTTTAATACACAACAGTTGGACAACACACAACAACATTCACACCTTTTTAGGGGCCCCAGTCACCTTCATTGACGCTGATTGGAATTACCAAGTTTGCCATTTGACCTTGGAACTTACCGCTTGGCATTGTAAGGGTGTTTGGGTAGCTCAGGCATGGGTGCACTTTATGAAAAAGCACCAACTCCAATATAAGATAAGTACATTTAATTACATGTCCTTTTGTTTAAGTTTTTTTCTTTTGTTCTCTTAATTCAGCTGTTCTTGGAGCTGACCAAGCAGATGGAGGGGGACGGTCCCACCAGCTGCTTGGTCATTCCAGAATTTTATCCTCTTAAGGTTCATCTGGCTTCAATGCTCAGCAAGCTATCTTTGGAAGAACCATAAGCTACGTTGGTTCTTAAGCCCACAGGTAGCAGCAAGAGGTGGCCGCTGATACCGACGGTTCAAAATACTGGAGGGAGAAATTTCCCTCACAAGAATTTCTCCCCTCCTGTATTACTCAGTCCACCACCGAACAGCTGCAACACACCACTATCTCACGTAATCATATCACACATATCTTTTTGTCTCATAAATATTTGTTGAAGTGATATTAACCTTGTTGAAGATAATCATGGAAGGAAGACTAGCAAATGCAGACACAAGAATAACAAGAGCGAGATCCACAGCTTTAGGCGCACAGCAGGGACAAAACCTAGAAAACCAAAAGAGAAGCTGTAGAAGAGCACCAGGACTAACCGGAGACGTAGAAGAAGAGAACAATGTGGTGAAGGCAAAAGAGAAGAAGAAGAAAGAGGTGGAAATGGTAGAGTAGGAGAAGGAAACCCAAACGGAAACCGAGGAGAGGCAGGGGACTTGGCACCAGAATCCGATGACAATGACAATTCATGGAAACCTCCAGCCGGCGAGGAGGACCACCAAAGCGGAGATGAGTCCAGAGAAGGGGACTTCACGACCCAAGGCGACGGCAGCTCAGGTAAGGCTAACGTTTTCTACCCCACACTCCAAAACACACCTCCTATACGGCCAAAACAGAAGAAGATTCAGTCAACAAAAGAGAAGAAGCACCGCACAGAGGGGAGAGACCAGATCCCACACCAGAAAGGTGCAGCTCACCCAGCTAGTCGAATAGGACAGTCTCAAGACGGGTGATATCCCGTGGCCTGCGTTTGCGGGTGCCTTGGGACCTATAGGGTCCCTGGAGGGCATAGCTTCCCCTGGCTAGAAGAACAGGGTGGCAGAAGAGTTAAAACGGACCTAGAAAGGAAGACACAAAGAAGCATGAAAGACAGTTGCTGACTCACATGCGGTCTTATTTCCAACTGACAGTGGTTGATGGGGATTGGATAATCAACATCCAAGCCCAGATTGACGAGCTATACCTCAGAGGAGACAACACAGACGCGGCAGCACTCCTAGCCCAATTCATGGACTCTTTCATGACTTGGGAGAGAACGGTATCAGTTGCAGCGAGAAGCAAAACCTCAGCGCAAAGACCAAGGACCGGAGATGCTCCTCCCCTGGCAAGAGCAGTCCAGGCTCCACCACGGCTGTCCACCCCAACCCCCTACCGACTCATCCAAGACAACATCACAGAGTCATCAGTCAACGGAAATGAGCGGCAGGACCAAGGAGGACCAAAACGGCCAAGACCAACATCCCCGTCCAAACAACCAGACAGACCAAAATCGACACGGACCACAATAGATAAGTCAGAAGTGGAACTGGTGGAAGCGCTACTCCTGTCTGGGAAACGAAGGATGGAGTTGGCCAATGGAGATGTAGTTGAGAATGGTTGCCTCATAGTCCTCAACGATTTGACACAAATGGAGAAGTCCCTACCTGAATTGTCACCAGTGTTGACAACGTACATGCAAACATTCAAGGCATACGTGCCGTTGACGGTCTTCAAACGTGATTTCTTGAGACAAGACGCCAAAGGGTGGAGCACGAAAGAAGCCCCAACGACTTCAAAGATCCTAGAGGGAAACGGAGTACGGGTGTACGGCGGCGAACCTCCCGCGGAGGAACTCACCATGCAATACGAGCAATGGCTAGATACCATAACCCTCTTCATCAGATAAGTTAAGAAAGCCAGATGGCAGACACAGTCTGAGAGATTTGAAGGACATAAGATGGTGGTGATGGAACTCAGGGAAAATGTTGGCTGGATGGTGGCGCTGCGTTACTGCCAACAAGTGCAACAAGGGGTGATGCGCTCGACAGCGGACAACAAAATCTACAACATCACAAAAGTGCAGCAAGTTCTTCTCGACAAAGTAAAGCTGATCTGCGAACACTTTGGCAAGAGGGCATACCAAACAAATCTGGACGCACCAGACGGAAACTGGTTTAACTAAAGAAAACCAGTTTAGCAAGAGAACGTTTGCGCCGCAAGGAAACACCCCCTATAACGCGGCCTCGACATCATCCCTGCACACAAACCCAGCGAGGACGGAACCCTGGCTTCCAAAGGCCGAATACAAGGCAAAGAAGGCTGCCAAAGGGCAAGCAGCGAGGGACCAAGGAAACGATTGAGGCAGGAGCCAAGAGCGAGGCTATGATCTCCGGGATGACCGTTGAAGAGAGAGAGGCAGGATGTGAGCCTACTAGCGTCTGTTGGGCTAATAGATTGAATAAAAAAGAGGATAGAAGTTTAAACAAACTTCTACTAGACTCGTGGGGATTAGTATCCACAAGTTTGAGCGGGTAAAGACGTGGGCGTAGGAGCTTTACTTGGAATAAACAAGTAAAGACTTCAGTTAGTTGACCTTTAAACAAAGGATTTAGCCCAGGAATTTTGGGTTAAGTATTGTCCTTGCAATAATTAAAAATAAGAGCAACTGACGCGCAGTTCTCAATCCTAAATTGATCCTCTTCTTATTCAAAGAAAGGTCAAAGAAGGTGGTGTTAAAGTCTTTTATAACACCAGGAACTTTACACTCTGACTAATAGAGATTTCCCCGTAGATTAAGAGTTTCTCATATCAGATGAATCCCAAATCTGATATAAGCAGCACTCAAGGACTACTTCCTTATACATAATTCCACTGTATGGTTATTACAAAAACTACTGATTAAGGAATCTAATCAGACAGAAACAAGGGTTGATGTGCACACAATAAAGTCAACAAGACACAAGGTTGAGGTTTCAAGGTTTGTAGAATCAAGCTTTTAAAGTTTGTAGATGTTAAACAAAGTTTAAAAGTTCTAGGAAGATGAAGTGAGCAAATTTTAATGATTGTTGAATAATAATGTGATGATTCAAAAACTGGTGGGATCTTCAGGGTTTATATAGTCTGAACCCTGGGAATCTTTGGACTACAAGTGCGCACAATTTGTGGTTCTAAGGTTAGGTTGATTACAGTAACACGGTTACTATTGGGTTAAAGTATATTTCACTTGTTACTTACATGTTACATCTGTGAAACATATGTAGCTTTGGTTCACATCAAAGTTGTGTACGTACACACTCTTTGATGTAAGTTTTGCACATGTTACATATGCCAAATCATACGTAACTTGACTCTTGAAACTGAGCCTTGAGTTGTAATTGTTGTTTTTAAGGTTTTTTATTGTATTTGTCGCCCATTGGTACGCTGGTTTAGTACTCAGGGCTCACCCAGGAGCCCGGAAAAAGGCTACCATGCGAGGAAGTTTGAGAAGTACAAAAAGTACAATCAAGACAATAAGCGTAGCTAGTGAGTGTGAAAATAGACATCCTACGCAATAAACCGGAAATTACAACCATGTGCCCTGAAATTCAGAGAGATGTACCCATGTTACAAGGGGATGAGATTGTACCTTGACCTGACCTGAGTAAACACTTGCCCTGTTTTTGTACCTGTTTGTTGCAGTGGAGATGAAGTACCTCACAATCCTATGAGAGACAGCCCGGCCACAAATGCGCCAAAACCAAGATGGTGCCTTGTACCATTGTCCCCACTGAGACGTTGAGATCATGAGAAAGAGAAGAGAGAAAGCCTAGACAAATACCCACTGAGAATTACGGCTAGAGAGTCGAGAGGGCCAAAACAGGTGAGATGTGAGATGAATATATATTGATGGAGGCCGGATTTAGAGAGAGCAGTCATCTTGAAAGAATCCGAGAAGATATTAGCCGGTTTCACCCATGGTTTCCATCAAGGAATACCCAAAGAACCAGTAGAAGGACATAGATTCTTTTGCCCACCGAATCACTCATCAGCCCTCTCCGCCCGGGAAAAGATAGAAAAGAGTATGTCGAAAGAAGTAGAAGAAGGACGCATGTTTGGAGGAAGTATACCGGGAGCTGGGTTTCTTTTCAAGGAGCCCATTGGGAGCGGTGACCAACGGATATGGATCTCTCAGACCAATAAACAATCTATCCTTCCCTAGAAATGATTTGATGATAAAATCTGTCAACGCAAGAGTCCATAAAAACAAGTTTGAAACATCATGGGACAACTTTGAAAAAGTTGCGCTGTTCTTACTAAGTTCAACAGGACCCGTCCTTCTTGGCATATACGACTGGGCCCACGCCTGTAGGCAAATCCCAACGATGATGTGCCAATGGCCTTACTTGATGGTCCTAGGTTTTGATGGTGGAGTCTACGTCGATACTAGGATAATGTTTGGTGGGGTGGCCGGATGCGCAGTGTTTGGGCAGGTGGCAGATGCTTGGAAGCATATCATAACAAGTCAAATGGGTTTCTCAAAGGCATTTCGTTGGGTAGATGATACCCTATTTATGAATCTGGCAGACGGATCCAACAGAACTCAATGCAAGATGTAGTAAAGCTGAGTGAAGAGCTAGGCGTCGTGACAAACTCAAAGAAGTGGAAAGAGTTCAGCTACAAACAGGAATACCTTGATTTCTTATGGGATGGCCTCAATAAAACGGTGCAAGTCCCGCAGGAAAAACGACTGGAGCGGCTTGAACAAATCAAGACATTCAGAAGTCAGAAAAGAGCTTTGCGGAAAGCGGCAGAGAAAATGGTTGGTCGGCTTAGTCACCTGACCTTGGTATATCCACAACTAAAGTGCCACTGTATGGCCATCTACCATTGGCTTGCTGAATGGGTGAACCATCTTGCCTTGAGAGATATTCCAGAGGAGATATTTGAGGACCTTGACACCTGGACCAAAGTGCTCACGACTGCCGAACCGAGACGCCTGATCCCGAGACCAGGAATAAGAACCCTCTAGGATCTTTGAAGTCGTTGGGGCTTCTTTCGTGCTCCACCCTTTGGCGTCTTGTCTCAAGAAATCACGTTTGAAGACCGTCAACGGCACGTATGCCTTGAATGTTTGCATGTACGTCGTCAACACTGGTGACAATTCAGGTAGGGACTTCTCCATTTGTGTCAAATCGTTGAGGACTATGAGGCAACCATTCTCAACTACATCTCCATTGGCCAACTCCATCCTTCGTTTCCCAGACAGGAGTAGCGCTTCCACCAGTTCCAACGTGGCATGGGTAGGCAATGCCTCATTGTCATATGGGATAGAAATAGTAATAGGCAAGAAATGGTCTTGATGCCGGTCAAGAAGAGGTTGGGACCTAGAAGAGAGAGATGGCTTGAGGAGGGAGATCGGAAACAGTTGCTTTAAGACTTGGGTTACTGATGCTAGAATCACTGATGGAAGTCAGAGGATCAGAATTCCTAGTCTTGACGGATAACGTAGTAACAGAAGGAGCGGTTAGAAATGGAAAGTCAAGGAATAGGTGGGTGAATAGAGAATGGAAAAAGATACAGGATGAAACATTCAGACTCAACTGTAGGATCAACCAGAAACAAGTGAGATCTGAGGACAATACCGCCAATCGGCTGTCACGAGGGTACGACTCTTCGAAACGAGTCAGAGACCTAGTGCAAGTAAAGATACCTGCGGACCTAGAAAAGTTCATTGTCCAGGAATGAGCAGAGAGTCACTCTAAATCAGAATCCATCATTGCAATAATGCCACCGGCACTTCCAAAACATTTCAAAGTAGCTAAGATTAAATCAAAATTGCAGACAGGACATCATGTAGCCTTGAGTGGATGGGCCGCAACAACACTGAAGGGATATTCAAGTGGAATGTCAAAATTTATAGAGTTCAAAGAAAAAAACCTCAGAAGGTTTTGATGAAGACGTACCAATCACAGACAAAGATATCTATGATTTTATTGCATGGGCAGGACAATCAAAATCAGAAAAAGAGAACGGCCCAAAGAGAGAAGTGTCAGCGGTGACTATAAAGAAGTACCTAGACGGCATTTGAGCCTGGCACATTGTCAAACACACGACTTGACCAAACGTAGACAGAGAAAGAAACAAAGAAGAAGCGGCCTTGGTAACAAAGAAGCAACCGATTATGATCAGACAACTTTCCAAACGCTTACGTTATGCACACGGGAGATCATGAGAACATGAACTCGCAGCAGACATTGCTATCATCGCCTTCTGGGGGATGGCAAGGCTTGGGGAACTCCTTTGAGAAAAACCAAGGGACGGCGCATTGCTGAGGTGACATGTAGAATTTGGCAAAAAGAACGGGTCCAGATTAGCGGAGTTGAAGTTGAGGAAAGCCAAAACAGCCGATCGTAGTGAAATCCAAACTATCCGACTGCAAGAACAATTCAACGTTCTAGACCCAGTAGCGGCGCTAGAAAGAACAATGCAAGCCAACACAACAGCTGATTGAGACAACCTTTTATTTGCTTGGGAAAGTCTAAATGGAATTCGACCATTGACAAAAGGGAGATTTGTAAAGTTACTCAAAGAGAGCTGGGGAGGAGCAGGCATAGGAACTTGGTCAGGACACTCTTTCAGAGTAGGAGGAGCATCAATTTGTTACAACCTAGGAACTCCAATGAAGACAATAGCAAAACAAGGGAGATGGAAGTCGCTGACTTACCTGAGGTACCTGAAGTCCTACACTAAAGAAGAGATAGAAACTACTGAGAGATTCTTGAGAGTGATTGACGAGAGAGGCGTTGCAGAATGATAAAAATAGAAACGATAATGGCAATGCAAGTGATAAGAAAATAGAGGAAACCAAGAAAAGCTAGAGC